CATCCAAGTGTATACACCTTATAAACATCGTCAAAGTAAACAATACAGCAAGCAATTATTGCCTTCATAAAAGTATCCTAAGATAATTGTTCTATATCACAACAATGCCATTTAAATATAATCTAGTGCAAAATATTGTACGTCAAATACACAACATAGATAATGATGTTGATGTGATCTCTGTTCTACATGATAAGTTCATCGTGAGAACTAAAATCAGACCCAGTGTAAGAAATAACCCATTTTTAAAATGGAAATGCCAATAATGGAAACTCCTTTCCATAGTTGCAACAACATTCAATTAACAATACTTGATATTTCAAGAAACTACTGGTTCTGTAAATAAATGCCATTAAAAGCATTCTAGTACTGTAATTAACTTTGCTGAGAAAATTGCATTCTCAACATTTTTTTTCACTTGAGCTCCATGCAGTCAAAATTTTCTCTATTGTTTTTTTTTCAACATCATATTAAATGAGCAATCATTTTAGACAATTTTCAATGAAAACAAGAAACTTTCTTGAGGGTCAAGTCCTGCAGTCGAATACCGGTAGTGGAGACTATATAGAGAAAAAGTGTGCACTTCTTAAGACAATGGAAGGTACTTTTGTACTGTTTTCTGAATTTTGAAGATATTTCTACATGCAAACACTAAAATTTCAATAAAACCATGGACACTGAATCATTGTTTCCATACATTAAGTCATGTTTCAGGTTTGTCCTGGAAAAATCCAGAATCTGAGGTGTTATCACAAAGTTTTAACTTTAATTCGCTATAACAAAAGAACCAAAGGTGATCATGTAGAAAACTAGGTAACTAGGAATGAAAACCTACCCTTAATCCAAAAGGTTAATCCAGTAAAGTGTAACAGTTCTAAATTTGTTATCAGAATAGCTTGTATCCTCTTTGTTAAAAAAACTTTCAATTTTACATAGCACAAATTTGACTCCTTTCCACACTTTGAAGACTATTTTCCAGTTTTCCTTTTTTTTTCTCTAGGTAATCACTTTTCCACTGTTAATTACTAAAATAAATTGTGAAATGATTGTTTTAAGTTCACATGGTCGACAGGGTTTTACCGTAATTCCTACGATTGTTCAGGTTAAAGCGTTTCATGCCCAGTACAAAAATTAATCCTATTGTTAATCACATCAGCTTATAACATTGATGAAGTTTGGTTCTTTAAACACATTTCAAATCTGAATGCACTAAAAACCGACATAATTTATCCGTCGACATTTGGCAACATAGATAAATCCAAGGCAGGGTCGATAATAACCAAGAATTTCAAAGTCCTTTACCAATGGCACAAAAATGATAAAACATATATTTTAAAGAACAATGTGCACTCTTCTGTATAATGAACACAAAACAGATGAAGATCTACTAAGTTGTTTCCCTTGATAATGGCCTTTTGCCAAAATCACTATCAAATATGTTGAAAGACTTAGGGTAGAATTACCGAATTTTTGACAACAGATAAAAACTCCGCACATGCATGTTCAATCAATTCATCCAGAGTTCTAAAATGTACATGTATTTCAGCCAAATTTAAAGCTCATTTAGAGGTGAAATGTTTCCTTTGCAGAGCACTGGAAGGCAACTGACTGGTTCAACTCGAAATCTTTCCTATCCATATAGACTTTTATGTCTTATATTGTGTAAATTAAGATTTAATGATAAAATGAGTTCTCTGAAAACTAGATGGCAATAATCCTATTTACCTATCTGTAGAAATTTAAAGGTACAGGGCTTTCTGACAACAACCGATTCATTACTGATTACAGCTTTCAGTGAGTTTTATAAAAGAAAATTTCACCTGTTAAAGGTAGAGGCTGTTATTCTGTCAGGAGAATATAACACTATTAGAGTACCACTTCAAATTCTGGAATTCAATGCGTATGTTTTTTCCACTCCAGAAACCAATGCAAAATACCTTTTGAAATTCATAAACAATTCAGTTGATATATCCATCAATAAATTCCTGATCAAACCAAAGGAGAAAAATAATTTAATTAAGTATTTAAGTAATCACCACATTTTGAAATATTTTGATCCAATTAATCTAATGAATCTTAATCAAGAAAATCAAAAGCAAAAATCAAGTTTATATTAAAGATATCTTTTCCCCCAGTTCATTGTAAGAGAAATGGAAAGTGTTAATTTCAATTCATGTAGCCCTCCTGCAGTATTTTGGCTTGACCAAGCAATGTCAATATTGGCTAATCTTCGATAATGGAAAAAGCATGAGAGGATATTAGACCTGGTTTTTGCTAACTGAGAAGTGGAATTATGCTTACTTCTCTTTGATCTATTTAACTTAGTGCAAAACTGCAAATCAAAAATGAATTCTGCTCATAAAACTGTTATTCAAATGTTTCAATCACTAAAGCATGCCTATTAACAAGATGAAGGCCCAGAAAGAATCTTTACTAAAACATAAATATATAATCATTCAACTTTCAAGGTGTCATTTTATACATTCAATCAAGTACAATATAAGAGACTCACAATAACACTGGTACTGAAGACAGCTTCGTCAGTTAATTAATGAGTTATCTGCCTTTACTTACTCAGCTTCACATTAAAGAATTTTTACACATATATTTTTTTCAATATTAAAAAGGATATACATGCAATGTATAAATTAACTTAGTACCCAACTAGAGGTACTGTGAGCAATGAGGTCACTAAATGATACCCCCCGCCTCCTATATGAATAAAATGGCAGTGTCCATGTTTTGCTATGGGAATCCAAAAATGTGTCGGATCAAAAAATAAAATGGAGGTGCACAATGGCAATATGTCATGAAGATTCTGTGAAAGTTTCAACAAATTTCATTCAGTGGTATGAGAGAAGTTGCGGATAAGAGATGGGTACCCCAAATCCTAACAGACGGACAGACAAATTGACTAAATAAACTGAATCCGATTTTAATAAAGCATTCAATGCATTAATTGTACCAGTGCCCTCATTCTTATCTATGTTCATGTATATGTATCCTGAAAATTGTTATACCCGCCACTTGAATAGCAGGAGGGTATACAGTAATCAGTATGTCTGTATGTCCGTCCATCTGTCTGTTACACTTTGGGGTACAGGGACTACCCATCTCTTATACGCAACTCCTTTCAAACCACTGAATGAAATATGATGAAACTTTCACAGAATCTTTATTACACATTGCCATTGTGCACTTCTTATTTTACTTTTTGATCTGACTTATATTTTGGGTTTCCCACAACAACACAATGGACACACCCATTATATTCATATGGGGGGGGGGTATCATTTAGTGAACTCAATGCTCAAAGTACATACGCCTCTAGTTTAGTCTATTAAATTAATTTGTAGATAAATTAAATTCTTTGGGCAATTATAAAGTAGCTGACTCACTATACAATGGTCGTATCGAAAGAAAAAATCAATTTATTGAAAATTCAAGCTTTGTCCATTTCAAACATTAATGATATAACATTAACAAACTTAATGCTTTTGTGACCTTTAAAAAAGTTATACAGTGTATATGTAAAATTGCAGTGTATACGCCTTCTTCAATCTTACTGAAAACTGGCTGTACATGAGTATATCCAATAAAGCATGAAAATGTTATCACCCCCCTCCCCCCCCCCCCAAAAAAAATTACAAAATTAAGTAATAAATATAATTAATAAAATTCAGTAACTGCATGCATACAGTTCTAACATAATAAATATACTTGTACATTTTTGTTTGGTGACTTTTATCTTTTGAAATATTGAATAAAATTAATATAAGCTGCAGCTACCCAGATATTAAATATATTCATATATTTTTTTTTGGAAATAGTGAATAAATGCATGAACAAATGCAATCCTTGATGTCATTACACATATTAGTAAGATAATTAGACATATTGAATGGATATTTGGTCACATGGTCAAAATGGTATTAAAAGTATTTTTCAGCTGAATTTAATTGAAACAGGTTTGATTTTCAGAATGAATAAGGACTTTCATTATTGAGCCTTGATTTAAGAGGGACCCTGTTTGAATGTTGAGGGGTATAAATGGTAATTACCTCCCCACTACATGTATATGCTAATATGATAATTCTTCATATCCATTGTTATACTTTCCTTATCTCCATAAAAGGTTTTGGGGGTTGTTATATGACTAACATAAAATTTTTATGGCAAACTTTTTGATACCTTATTTTTCTGCGTGCTTAAGTGTTGTGATAATTTCTAAGTTTTGATTTCTAATAACTTTTACTTATCCCTTTTAAGGACTGTGTGGGTGATTTTATGGATCCCTTTCATTATGCATCAGAATCCCCCATATACAATACACATAGTATTACACATAGCTAAGACTGGGATACAAGCCCCATGTCATGGGTATCAGATTTAAAGCAAAAAGAATGCACATCATCTCCCTAATATGCCTCTTGTATAAATTCCTTGGAGCGCTAATACTTACATAATCTGCCTAGAAGATATGGGCCCCTAGAAGTTTAAGATTTTGACTTTTGTTTTTTAACCTTTGTATTCATTTTTATTATCCCACTGACTAATACACTGCCTAATCGGAAAATTTCTTTTTCTTTTTTTTCAATGAGTTGATGGTCTTAAAGTTCATTGTAATAAATTTGTGAACAACTTAATATTTATTGACCCTACCAGCCAAATAATTAATCAGTTTATTTTTCATGTCACATGTGTAATGCACAAGATATCCTTCGCCCTATCAATTATAATCTGACAAAAATTTCTTCTTTTAACTTTTTCATATTATCATTTCATTTCGAGTTAAAACAAAACAGTTAATTATGACAATATAATTTCATGTTTGACAGGCATTTACTGGAAAAGCGGCCGTTGTCAACAACGCGCACCTGCTAAGTCCTTGTTTACAAAGCTCGAAAGAAATGAATATAAAAGTAAATGACACCGGGAATGATTGGAAATTAATTTGTGTGGAGGATAACTGTATTGTTTTACTAATGTTAAGCACTTACCGTTATTAAAATGAACTTTTTTCGCATAATTTCTCAGTCACCGTTACCATTCCAGGCGCCATCTTAGTTTGTGACGTCAAGAGGTCCGCCATGGGGGGTCCATGAATTAGATAAGTCGCGGCTAAAAAGTGATAAATCATAAAGAAGCAACCGACATTAAACTCCCAATCCTTAAAAAAAATACCCACCATTATGAATTATTTAAATTTAAGCCCAATTTTGTGTTATTGATTTATGATTAAATACGTTTTGTATTTAAAACTGTAACATATGTTATCATTTATAAATTTTATCAACTAGACTGTTTCTAAGACTTCAAAGAACCTTAAAACACATTGAAATGTATAAAATGAAAATTCTTGTATGAAACTATTTCAATCAGGTTACCTTAAGCTTCATTTTTAGAGTTTTTGATCGAAGTACAGGAGATGAAATTTAAGTACATACGTTTAATATACGTACATGTATATATATGTATAAAAATTGTGCATTTTCTTCAAAAGTCTGGATATTTTTCAAATTTGATTTGGAAAATGTATTGTAGGTGTTTTTATTCACATTTCCTGAATATTTATTTGAGATTTAATATTTTCCCCTATATAATATGATTAACTTTAAAGATAAAGTTTGAAGAATTTTCGTGGTTAAAACCAGGGACCTATATATAGGTCCCTGTTAAAACACATTATTTCAGTTGATAGACAGTTTTGTGGGCATTTTCAATGAGCCAAATGCCTGCTTTTTAGAATCTGAGGATCGGAGTACCTTAACCGCTTACCGTTGGAAAAGTTGATTTAGCTGACAGACAATTTTGAAAGTATAAGCAGCTGGTACAGGTGCTTGAACACTTTAGAAAGGAAATAGGAGGATTCCATTACAACAGCCAAGTGCTTACTGCTCACTCGTTTTTCAATATTTACATTTCCAATAAATTTCCCCTATGATTCTTTAAAAAAAATGCAGTTCATTTTCTAATGAACTACATTACGATTAAACCAACAATAAAGATAAACCCCAAACTTTAATGTCTATTTTTGCGAAAAAAAAGGGGGGGGGGCTAAGCCCCTAGCCCCCGGTTCGGACGCCTATGTCTCTAAGCATCAGGGATGGGATCATCGAAGAGTAAACATTCCCTTCCGACAGGTTACATCTGTAATGCTTGTCATGATTGGGAAATGGGGAGAAAATCTATAGCCACCTCAGTGGGTAAAAATGGTCCAACAACATTGTATCGTCCATAGATCTTGCGAAATGATGACTTTAAACGAGACTCTTGATATCTTTATTTGTTTGTCAATAGCTTGCCTCGTTTTAGAAATCGTAGACCATGCTCTTACGTATATTGAATCAAATGAGAGACATAAACCCCGTATAAATGTGATGTAGTTTTGTCGTAAGATTGCAATGTCTATTTCTAGTAAAATATCCAAATTTGAAACAGATGTATCAGACTAACTCTAAAGTCACAGAAAATATCGGATCGACATATAAATATAAGTGACGTTTGTTAATTGATAAAACATGTCAACATTTTAGATCTATCGTAAATGTCCAGTTGAAGCCAAAACAGATTATTGTTTTCTACTTCTTATGTACAACCCTGAAGTCCGTGAACAAATTCTGCATCAGATGAATACAAAAAATGAGTTTTCAAATAACGGGGCACAATAGGTACCCATGGAATTCCGATAGATCGTTTGTTAATTGTGACTAACTATGTACATGTACATGTATGTAGGTTTAGCTAATACATGTACTCATACAAAATGTTCGCTTTTTAAATTTTCACCCGGAAACTTTTTAAAGACCTATTTTTTCAGTAATAAAATACCAGACTATGTACATGTATGTATTTAGCAAAGGCTCTCCTGAGGCTCTTATTTAGCTCAAAATGAATATTCATTTTTAGATATTTTGTAAAGAACTCATTGTTTATTATAATTATGCTGCCCTGGCCACCGAACCCTGAACTCCGAGACCATGGATTTTACAGGAAATTTAGTTAAAAGATTATTGTCTAATTTATGCATATAATCACGCAAATGCGTTGGTTAGGAGTAAATTAAAGAAGGTGAGTACATGTAGATTGTATTAATTCTTGTTTTGTTTTGAACATATTTTATTGTATAATTTATACAATGGGATTGGTAACAAGTTCTTGCAACTTAAAAAACCTCTCCCTGTGGTCTTGGCCCCTCAAGATCTCTAAAGTCCCAAGGTTAACATTTCTGGGAAGAGGTCAAACTTTAGAATCATAAATCAGAAAGGCCAGAGAACCAGCGATCTCAAATCTACCCATTTTTGTCCTCTTTTTCATAAAATTGACATAAATTGCCAAATTTGGATGAAATTAGTTAAGCCCTTCAAGAGGGTTGGGGATGTTCAAGATCAACGGGCGACGCAAAACACACTTCACGGATAAAACAGATAACGATAGGTCCTCTGAGAGACTCGTTTGACCTAAAAGTGTTGTTTTTTCATCCCACTAGACAAGAATTTCGTTCCAGGTGAGGGTTAAATATACAACTCGAAAAACTCATGATACTCAGGTGACCGACAAAGTCCATGAACCTCTTGTTGGACTTTTTGGGTGACATCTAGTTTAGGAAAGATTCCACATTTATTAAGTAAGACCTTTTCCCAACAACAGGGTTCATTTAGGAGGAATGATCTGTAACATTTTGTAATTATCCTGGCTGTCTAGGTCAAGGTTAACATTTCTGGGAAGAGGTCAAACTTTAGAATCATAAATCAGAAAGGCCATAATTGTCAACGGGATAAACGTATAAAATTTGAAAGCACTGTTTCTTCAGGTATTTTATAAAAAGCTCCAATCAAGATTAAAATATCTCATAACTAGGTCAAACTTCAAGGTCAAAGTCTTGAAATTAGAAATCATAGAGCATTCAGAAAGGTCTTGTCGCACTTTTTACTTATGCTACAAGACTGCATATATTTATCACAAACTAAGAGTGATAACTCTTTCCCATTGATTTACAATGCATGTTTACTTCATATTTTGAAATAGTTTGCTTCAATTTTTTAAAGGTACTTGGACACAGATTTGAAGTCAATATTTTCTCTATAATATTACGACTTATGTATTTTAATAGCATTTCACACAAACACAAACATTTTTTTTAAAGGTACTTGGACACAGATTTGAAGTCAATATTTTCATTTTACGACTATTAAAAATCTTATTTCATTTAAAAGTTATTAAAACTTCAAATTTTTTGGCGGGTTTGATTGACACATCCTTGCACTCTCACAAATCTTAACCTTATTCTTAATCCTTAGGAAAAGTGGCAATCTTGTGTATTAATGAGAAATATTAAAACTTTTATCCAGAAAAATAATTTTATTCAGAGTAGAAATATTTTTTGGCGGGTTTGAGAAAGCAAAACTCCTTCACAAGTATCGTCATTCCGAACTAGGAGTTGCGTACAGAGTTTAGCAAATCGAGCACACTCGTGTTATGTACACAGTTTTTGTAAACATGGCACGAGTTCTGTTATTGTTGATGTTTATAATTCACCGGGTGCGTTCAATCGTCACAGTCTGCTTACCACAACTGCACGGACTGACAATATATTGCGTGTTTGTTTTGCTTTCGAACATGTCTACTCTGGATTTTCTTGATTATGGCATTAATATTTTTCATTTATACACAACGAGATTGCCACTTTTCCTAAGGATTAAGAATAAAATTAATTTGTGAAAGTGCAAGGATGTGTCAATCAAACCCGCCAAAAATTTGAAATTTTAATATCTTTTATGTGAAATAAGATTTTTAATTAATTTTTGTGTGAAAATGCTATTAAAATATATAAGTCGTAATATTATAGAGAAAATAACTTCAAATCTGTGTCAAAGTACCTTGTAAGGATGTATAATGTTCTAATGTTTAGAACTTTCGGCTAGATAAAACTAACTTGACTTTATATGTCAGAAATTCGTCCATAAGTAACGAAAAGTAAAAATTTGCAAACGGAGACAAAATTTACATATTAAGATACTGCGCGTGTATATAAATTGGCGTGTTCAAAATTTAGCGTAATCACTGGGTATGGGATTATTGGCGTAATCGTAAATTAGCGCTACACATGTGCGTTCAGTGTATTGTATACCGGTATGTATAAATGTTCTTGAATTAGCGCAATATTGTTTGCGCCAAAGCCGCTAAAATATGAAGCCCGCTTTTTAAAATACACATACAGTATTTTAACATCTGTTTGGCATTCGTTAGCGCTATCCAAAAATAAGGTCTGACTGAAAGCTTAATCCATAAACGCTTAACGGTCATAATTCCCGCTTATAGTTTGTACTTTATATTTTGTGTACCAAAACTGGGCATTTCATGAAAAACAAGATGTGATTATATGAAACACTGATGCCCCCATATGGCAACTCATGGCGAAAGTGTTTCAAATGAAAGTCAAACAAGGTTTAAGTCACTTGAGATCTTGTCACAAGGGAAACACTTTTAATATAAGAAAGCTCTATCACCCACCGTTCAAATTTTATTGTCAAAGTGTAACTTTTTAACTGTAGGTCACACTCCAAGACAAGGTCAAAACTGTTCATACCCAAGGGATTTTTTTTTTCTCTAAAGAAATACACAAGTGAAGACCATACCACCAACCCATTCAAAAGTGATTGCCATCATTTTTCATTAGAATAGGTCAAACTTAAATCAATATCGATGTAAAAAAAAACATTAGACACAGAAATAGCGGATTTTCTCACAAGAAATCTGAAGGGTAAGCACGAGAGTACACATGTATATGGATTCCGGATTGGACCATGCTGTACACCATGGCATCATATCGCGAATCGACTTACCAGGTACTAGTAATGGTCGATGTTGCGACAATGCGATAACGATGGACTGTGATAGCACGATGGAGTGATGGTGAATATTGGAACAGCCCCAACAAATAAAAAGTTATGGTTGCAGAAAAACAGACAGACAGACAGTTAGGGTAAAAGCGATATGTTCCCAAATCTTTGATTACTGGTGCATAATAAAACACTTTGGTCGAACCAGTCAAGTATACAGAAGGAAACAGCATTCCCAGCTGATATACGAATTTAATGATAGGCCAACATTAGCTTTTACAAAAGTAATGCAACTGCTCGAAAGGACTATTGGTGAAAGAGTGTACTGCTGGATTTCAGAATACTAGTATGCATCATGACATCGAAACACATTTTTTACAGTTCCAGTGAGACTTCAACGTTTTTGGTCACCTGGTACGGAAACACCTTCATTATCACAGAAAACGATCCTCCTCCTCATGTCTTCTTACTTTTGGATTTAGATATATGTATATTCAACATTGTATTTCCGCGTGATATTTGTTCGATTCTCCTCTGTCCAGTATCCGTTTTTTCTCCAATGGCGATCGACCAAGGCTCGAAGTCTTGTTGATGAACAACGCGTTTAAATGGTCCATTATCCAAACTAAACTTAAAAGTTGTTGAAGGTGATACACCCAGGCCTTGATTCTGCTCGATTTTAAACTGGAGACAATTTTTCTCAGCTGAAGCAAAAAAATACACAAAACATTTTTCATAATTTTCGTCTCTCCTTCGAACTGAACTTCCGGTGGTATCTACACGGATGCGTTGGAAATCTCGCAGGTATAAGTTGTCAGATTCTCCGATTTTGAAGACGGTTAAGTAATGACCTAGAATTGTGTTGATATCCTCCAGTTTAACACAGTCAATGTAAACGGTAGCGGATCGAGCCCCCGTCTTTCTGATGTGCATGAAAAAGCGACAGATATATTCATCACGGTAAGCCAACTTTATTTCATTTGCATTAATTTGTGTGAACCCTGGTAATGCAAGCCCGAGAGAAAATCTGAAATAGGGAGAAAAATTCTCAATATAAGAAATGATTTACTGATAAATTACCCGCTAAACATGTTATTCACATGACATTCATTAAAAGACTTGAAGATTTCAACTTAAAAGTAACTTTGAGACGTCTTTCGAATGTACTTGAGGATTTAAAAAAAAAACCATGTATTCTGTATTCCGATTTACTAGATCCCTATAACGAAAAAAGAAATGTTTTCCAATTTTTACATTTTGATTGAAAATAAAATCATAAATTTCTAATATTAGCCTTTCTATTTTCATTCTTCATTTTCCATTGAAGTTGCTGCTATGAGAATCTACTACACGTCTTTGCAAAACTAGTATGACAACAGCCAACCTATTGTACTGCAACTGTCAATATAAAAGTCAATAGAACAATACAAAATAAGAGCAGAGCAAACACGGACCCCCAAAAACATCAGAGGTGGGATCAGGTACCATGGAGGAGTGAGCGTCTGTCGACGGGAAGGACATACCGTACTAAGAAACACCCTCAAAGCGACAAAAATCCCTTTGTTGATTAGCATTGAAATATGCTTTTGAATGTAAATATCGTGAAATAATTGTCGTTTTTAAACATACCCAGATTTATTTACAAGACCGTCAGTCTGTAAAGAAATGGAATTATTTCCGACTTTCTTAGCCTTGCATTCTTCTCTTGACATCAAGGACACATCGCCATCTTTCCATCGAAATCCAACAACCTCCAGATCTTTCAAGTTGATATTTTCACCCAACACCTTAAGAGATAGCTCAGCAGTGATGGCTTTTGAGCTGGAGATGTCATGTTCAACGTATACTCTACGTGATACGGCCTTCAGTTTGAAGAGATCGGGGTAAAGTTTATGGCGCTTGTCCATGCCTTTTTTGTCCACAGAGGAAAACTGAAAGTACATTTAATGAATGAAACATAAGGAAGTATGATGAAAGAAATCGTCATTGATAACGGTCATCACTATGTTTACACTTCTGTGTGTTTTGAAATATATATGGGACAAGTCTACAAAATCTATAATTACTTGAATGGATGCAGTTTTCGGCATGTCAACAAAATTTTGGGGGAAATGAAGTGTGTCTCCGCCCAGATTCTTTGGTTTTATCTCTCGACCCATTGGTTCGATTATGTATCTGTTCTGGGTAGGGAAGCAGATCACGTACAAACTCTCCAGTTCTGTCGTACGAAAAGTCACATTTTCTTCCTAAAACAGTTTATAAAGTAATAGTCTTTTTAAAGTAATAGTTAAAAGTGACATTTTACTGATAAATTTATGTACATGTATATGTCAAAGCCAAGAAAACATATTGAAAAACCACCTTAAGATTTGCAGGTACGGATTCCCATTTGGAACCTTGTTTGACTTTTGCAACGTAAGAAACGTCTTCGTTTCGGAAGAGATATTTTATTTTGACGGAAAAGGTTATGTGTTCTAGATCTTCAATGTCAAACTTGAGTACACTTTTCCCACTTCTACTATAAACTTCATAGACATCACAACACGTCACTTCCTGGAAACCAAGAGTTATATCTCCTCCTTCTGCGATCCTACGCTCTAGCGACCAAGGCCGACAACGTACATTGTCTTTGAAATCATACGTTTCCAGATGCGTAACTATAATTCCAAATCCTAGGTCCGTGTCAATCAAATTAATGACGGACTCCTCTGTTTCCCTAAAATTAGTGAAAAATCTCAATTTGATGCAGCTATCTTTGATTGCGTATCACTCATAAAACTCGGAAATAAATAGACATTAAATACTCACACACATTCAACAATACTATCCCCACTTTCATCCGATGATGAGTGTCTATATAAAGAAAATGAAAATAAAACCCTTAAAAAGTTAGTTAAAATAAATGTTCTGTCTCAAACATATATATATGAAGGGGACTCTAAATTTTTAGTATAAATAACGTTAGCATATTTGGTCCGTCTTTTGAAGCGGAGGATGTTTGCCCCTGCAATTTGTTTTCTATGAAAAAGCATACCTTCACATTAAGGTAACCTTAAATAACAAAGCTTTATGCTCAAAATGATGACTTCAACCTTTCAATTCTTCCGTTACTTATATGTAGCAATATACCCGTTTCACCTAAATATGGGATTGACATTTTTCATAGAGAATGCTCCACATACGAACACTTTTCTTAAACGAGGTACGTTACTGACAAACAAACTGAAAAAAAAGAATATCAACAGACTCGTTTTTAGTCATCATTTGGCAAGTTGCATGGTCGGTACAATGGCAATGTCAGCAAATACAATCTATAACGTCAAATGCTAATTGGTGGTTTTTATACTAATTGTTAGGTCATTGCATACACATTTTTTGAATTTAACCCACGGATTTTTCCTTACTTCCCGATCATGACAAAGAGCACAAAGGGCAGGTATGACCGGTCGACAGGGAAAGCTTACTCCTTCATGGTAATTCATACAAACTCCAATATCTAAGAGTTCCTTATTTGCTCTGCTCCTGATTAAATTGTTTGAATGGATTTGAGCTTGTATATATATTGTTTGTTACCCCCATACTTCATTTCATGTAAACGTAAACTGTAGTGCTAAGCAAGGGTTACGGTCTTAGAGAAAAAAAAATGGGATTTTCTTTATTTGTGTGTTCAGCAAAATAGTAATCTACTCTAAAGTAGATTATTAAATTAAAACAAAATGTTGGTTTGACCAATCTTTAAATCTATGTTATATGCCCATATTCACATAAAAAGTAACTAGAGGTACTGTGAGCAATGAGCTCACAAAATGATACCCCCGCCTCCCTTATGAATATAATAGCAGTGTCCATGTTTTGCTATTGGAAACCCAAAATATGTGTCGGATCAAAAAGTAAAATAAGAGGTGCGCAATGGCAATATGTAATAAAGATTCAAACTGTGAAAGTCTCATCAAATTTCATCCAGTGGTATGAGAGGAGTTGCGGATAAGAGATGGGTACCCCAAAACGTAACAAACGGATGGACGGAAATACAGATTTCTATATACCCTCCTGCTTTTCAAGCGGGGGTATCAATATGAAAGAAAAACCAAACATACACTTCTATAGAAAAACCATCTTCTTCCCCTCCTGCCTCTCTCTCCCATGCCTGATTGTAGACAACGCCTTCCATGTTTCTCCGAGGTGTCGCCGGTATTATGCTGTAAATCACAAGGCCATGTTTAAAAAATTAATTGGTTGCCCCCTCCCGACTATCGTCGCAAACCACGGCCAAAATGTAAGATCCTCTCCCATTCTGGAGAGAACTATATATGCGGACTCCGAACCATGGCTTGGGACGATGACGATTATGGCACGCCAAATTCACAAAAATTAGCTAAACATAGTTTCACTGTCGATAAACTAGGTTTATCGGTTGTAAACTATAGTTTACGGACTGTAAACTATAGTTAACAACGTTAATCTATATTTTACATCCGTAAACCATAGTTAACGCGATAATCTATGTTTCACAACCGTAAACTATACTTAACACTGAAAACAATCATTTGCGATTGCAAAACATAGATTATCTGATAAATAGAGTTTCACGATTTGTAAACTATAGTTTACAAACCGTTAACTATAGTTAACGATCTGATAAATATAGTTTCGCGATTTGTGAAACTATGATTAACAACTCTTAACTATAGTTTACGATTGTAAACTATAGTACAAACGTGAATCTATGTTTATCAACAAAATCTATTGTTAACGCTTATTTCAGACAGATAAACTTAGATTAGCATTCGTAAACTATAGTTAACAACCGTTAAATATAGTTTTACAGATAAAAACTATACTTAACGAATCGTTAACTATAGTTCACGGTTTGTAAACTATAGTTTACAGTCGATAAACCTAGTTTATCAATCGTGAAACTAGGTTTAGCTCATTTTTGTGAATTTGGCGTGCCATAGACGATGTCTTAACGACTGACTAAAATCGGCCCGACTCAAAACTATTTTTATATTCCAAGACAATTTTTTCTTTTTATTTCTCTTATCTTCAGACTTGTCAAGAAATATGTTGAAATTTTCTGGAAAAAAGACTTTCCCACCTACCTACCGACCCAATAATTTTACCTTGAGTCGGAAGAGGGCAAGCAAACATTATTTTAAAGATGACCCAAGTTCTTGTATGTACAAGTACACACAATAGAAAAAAAAATTATATTTCTTCCATTTCGACATTTATCTAACATTTACATTGTACCTTGTTGTGTAGTATTTCTGATTAACGGGTGCTTGTGCTTCATTCACGGGTTCCAAGGTACCTGAGAAAATCCCCGACCTTAAAAAAATCTCAATTTGGTTTTACAGGTGTATTATAATTCAGTGTCTCTCAAAAGCTGCGTATTTAACACATTGCATACTTTTATGTAATAAATGCTTGGGCCAAAATAAAAAATACCTTTGTTTCCCCTAACGCGACCGACCCAATTAAATCGCACCGACTGAAAAGATTTTTTTAATAAGATGATTCAAATATTTTTTTTATTGTTAACCATGTTTTATAAAATACAATTTCATCAAAATCAGTTTTTATCAGAACGGCCGACATTGTTGTTCTGTGATTTTCAAGCATTTGTTGGAAACAAAATGGCGTCCACATGTGATTACAGGGCATTAGCTCTTCATAAAACAATGGCGACGTCTCAATCTTATGCTTTTAGCTAATTGGAAATCTTCACTCTAGACACAATTCGTTAATAAAATTTACCATGACTAATTAAGAGTGTTTCAGAGGTGTCTTGGCATCTCCATGTGAGTGAATAAATTTTCGAAAGGGACGTTAAACAACAAACAATCAAACCTGTCTTTGAAATTTAAGGTACGTACGAATAATACATGGTAACCCCCCCCCCCCCCTTAATGAGTAGATGAGGGGCCCACCTAGTGAACACATCATTCAATTTCACTGCATTTTATTTGAGTTTTGATCTAATAACCAATTCATCTATGTTCCTATGTTTACTATATGCCATTATGGAACCATAAGAGTTGTAAATATTTCTGCATTTTCATCCTGATAAATATAATTCAGATGTCCTTTCTTCATGCCTTTATTAAGTGGTTAAACTTCGTGACTGTGACATTGTATACAGCATTTTTATCATTTGTAGATTCAGTTTGGTTCATTTAAATATTGTTAACATAGTCTAGAAATCAAGGTTCAGCTTCCTGAGACGTTCAGTCTATTTGTCGTTAATTAGGCCCTTGAAGATTGGTTGTTTCTTTGCTTTTAATCCCTTCGAGATTTGTTAGGACGACATTTAAACATTTCCCTATTGCTCCAAATTTAGACGTACTCAGCACTTTTTTTGCCATTAAGCAGTGGGGGATCTTTTTTGAGCAAGCATCTTCTGCGACACTGGACATAAGTTTTTATGGTCCCCTTTGAAGGACTGTTTTCAACGTTACTCAATGGGATTTGAACCTGCGATTTAAAATTAACCACTTACTTCTTAACTCCAACACTCTTAAAAAAGTTTTACTTGTTGTTTTTAAAATAAGATATTAGATTAAGAAAAACTAGTAATTATTAGTAATCCATTTAGTCAGAATAGCAAGTAAATGACTATCGTGGTTAGTAATTGTAAACATAATTAGTAATAAGGATGAATTCATTTACTTATAAAATGATTTACTAAGTATCAATACTTAATAGGAATTATATTACTAAATGAACTACTCATTTTTAGTAAAATATTATTACTTAATTTAGAGATAATATGCTTTTTATTTACTAGATTTTATAAATTAATACTAAGTAAATGTAATTCTGAAATTAAGTAAAATCTAGAATATTATTACTTAAGAGAATGCTAAGTAAATGAAATACTTATCATATTTACGAAAATCGACATTATTTATAAGAAAAACTGCAAGGTATCGACCCTCTGATAAAGGAGATACATGTAACTATGAAAGTACATAATGTAAGACTAATCACAGTTTTCTTGATCACAGTGTCTAATTGAGCTTTCTGAGTAGTCATTTAGATGAAATCTACATTGAACGGTAACAATACTTTCTATTTCTTTTGCCAATTTCTTTGTAATTGTTTTATTATATTTAACAATAAAACATTTAATTCCAACATCAAAAGCCTTATAAGTTGAATAAGTTGTATCTTTTTAAGGACCATTTTAAAAATGGTTTAAAGTTTCAAGTACTTAATACAACATTTTAATTAGTATGACTTTTTTTTTACATGAAGAAATATTTAAGAGAAAGGTAACTCCTCCTCACAGACAATTAATATGGAAGCCAAAATTATATATTACATTTCAAGAATTCAATCCTGATAGTGAGTAGACTACCATTTTTAAGTAATTATTTGTATTGAAACTGCTCTTAATTCTCCTTGATTCAGTTAATAAATTATTGTTTTAAGTAAATCAATTAAATACAATTTAAACAAGACACTGATGCCCCCCTTATGGCAACATACCAAAGGTTAAACTTTCCTTATATGCAAATTCAATATATTGGTATTTCTTGATATCTCAAAGGTCAAGGTCAAATGGTCAATGTTATTGGTATCTAATGAAAGGTCCTGCCACAAAAAAAATATCTGAAATATGAAAGCACTAGCCCCAACCCTTCATACGTTATGGTCAAAGTTACCATTTTTTAAATGTAGATCAAACTCCAAGGTCAAGGACAAAGGGTCAGATTTGGTGGTACCCAAAAAATTGTCTTGTCACAAGGATGAAATCTGTAAAGTATGAATGCACTAACCCTAACCCTTTTAAAGTTAAAGTCAAGGTTTGCTTTTTATAAGTGGGTCAAACTCCAAGGTCAATGTCAGAGGGTCAAAGTTCTTGGTATCCAATGACTGGTCTTCTCACAGGAATTACATATACTAGTATGTAACTATGAAAGCCCAATCCCTTATCGTTCAAAAGAAATGGCCAAGGTTAAAGTTTTTTCACAAGGATGAAATCTCCAAGGTAAAAGTCAAATGGTCATGGTTGTTGGTATCCAATGAAAGGTCTTTCATCAAAGAATATATATGTGAAGTATTAATGTCCTGGTATTTACTGTTAAAAAATATGGCTAAAGAATTGGTTGGGATTTGTAAAAGTGGGTCAAACTCCAAGGTCAAGAGTTCAAATTTGGCGATACTCAAAGAAAGGTCTTGTCAAAAGGAATGGACATGTGAAATATACAAGTCATAGCTCCGCTAAATCAAAAGTTATGGGCAAGGTTAATTTTTTTGCGGACAAACAGGGAGACAGACAGACAAAGAGACAGACAGACGGACACGAAAAAAACTTCGTTTACGGGGGCAAAAAGATATTAGTTATATAGTAAATAGTGGTAAAGGCCAAGTAATGTTATTACTTATATACACAAATTTAAGTAAATATAAATTACTAAGTAAAACCTTTAAGTGTTTAAGTAAAACAATTCTTTAAAATAAAAAAATCAAGTAAAACATTTGAATTTAGTAATTGACATATATTTTAGTAATTGATTTAAAATTTTAAGTAAATGCTTAGTAATTATCTTTTACTTATCTTTATTATTTCAAGTAAAAAATGACTACTAAGTAAAACTTTTTTAAGAGTGAAAGTAATGTGCTCCAGAACCACTGAAAATTTCATGGCCCTCAAAAAAGTACATTGATCGTCTATAAGCTCTGAAGGCTGATGGAAGGTTTGAAAAATATACTCGTATGTCTGGTCTTTGAGTATTTGAGAATCTTGTAGATCTATTTTTTTTTCAATTTATGTAGATGTAATGGCGTGAGATATTTCACAAGTTCAACTAAATAACAGTTGTGAATTAATTAATCATGAATTTTGTTTTGAAACGGCATGTGTACAATACTTGGCATTTTGTTCACACATTGCTTTCTTTTGTACTTTTCTTATTTAAAAAGGTAATTTTCCATTAAATTTTAGAATGTATTTTCAAAGCTGCTGTCAGAAAATAAAATTGTTTACCTACCTACCGACCCAACTTGAAAATTTAGGGTCGGGTTAGGGGAAACAAAGATATTTTTAATTCCAGCCTTGTCTATCTTTGAGCTTTACACCCATCAGTCTTTAAATTCCTTAGGTTTTGCTTTTAATATTAAATTATACTTCAAATTTACCTTCTTTTAATTTAAATTTATTATCCAGTTCTGCAGTTATGCCTAGGAAAAAAAACTAAATTCCTTTAAAATTAGAATGTAATTGAAAATGTCTTCATTGTATATATATATTTTTTTTTTTACCTCGGGGTAGAAGCTATTTCTCCTGCATATCTTCTAATAGGACTCGAATCTTCTTCATCTGTTAGACTAGAAAGTGAAGTACAGATTTTTAAAAAATGCTCCGACTCAAATATTGATGCATTGTTATGATATTGTCATGACATTACATGTATTTGCCTTTTGCATATATTAATGAGTAATTTAACAATCCTCTTAGCTGAAAAGATTTTTTTTTTTCGAGAAAGAAGATGGGCGCATTTGGCGTGTGATCTGCAGGAATCATTTGTCCGAAACATTTATGGTTTAAATGTCCAAGATTTGGTTGGCTGAACATAGCTGGTCAAATTTTTGCAAACACGTCCATAGGTTTTTTTTTTCATTTATAGTTTGAAAGACTTCGTCAGATTGTAACATTTATGTCCGTTTTTCCTAGGGGATACTATAACAAAGATTGTTTCAAAAAAATAAACACCTAAATATTTAATGCATAGATGCATGATCCGTGTACATGTACACTATAGAACAGAAGATTAGAATTGATTTCGCTCGAGAAGCAAACTGAACCAAAATTTATCTAAATCAAAATTTTAATACATCAGTACATAAAACGAAAATGACAAAATAAATGGTTGTTGGCATGAAAAAAAAATAACGCCACATGCAAGGCTGGAACCAAAAACTTCATGCTTCGAGTGTACTGAATAGGTAGCTCAACTTACTGAGCTATCACTGCTACACATATACAATTGATTTTAAAAGGACAAAAAACCACCACATTCACACATTTGAATTTTTTAGGGAAAAGTTCATTTTTCGTGGTCTCTGGGTCTTCTCTCCATTTTTTAAAATTGTGTATTTGTTTCTTTGAATTAAAAATGTTTAAAAATCATGGTGAGAAGACCCAGAGATAGAAAATTTTTAGAAAAACGTGTTTAAAAATGTACTGATCTGGCCATTTTTCAAGTTATTTTTTAGCAAATCAAAGCTAAATTTCGGAAAAATATTTTCCTTTCCTGTTGCACAGGAACCCGATAAATAAAAAAAATGTTAAAATTTCATGTGACATGTCGATAAAATTTTCACTTTTCAATTACGCCCAGATTTCTGCCGAATGCCAATCAAAAGCGCCCTCGTTCTTTGAGTTAAGGGCAGTAAAGCCATGCTAAACACCTTCAATTTTGATTTTGTAATTTAATATATTTCTTATATTTCTTAATATGAAAGAAACGATTATTAAAACTCACTATATGATCAAATTTTAAAGTTACTTTACCTAAGTCTTGCTACTTGGGCTTGCTTATTAAAACGTGGCTCAGACTGATGTGACCTAAAATGAATTTTAAAAAATACATACCGGTATGATACACTGTAAATAGATGTACAAAAATGTCAGTGCGTAAAAATATGCTTGTATTCTTTAAGCTTACTAAATGGTTTAACAGATCCATATGACTATTGTCACAATACGGTTTTCAAAAGATATCGATAAAATAATGTCAGACGCTTGAGAGGATTAATTTTCAATCTTAAAAATTCATTGAGTTGATATAAATTGGGAGCAGAGAGCAAACGAGGGACCTCTCAAATAATCAGATGTAAATGAAATCAAGTGTCTTGGGGTAATAGTCAAAAACCTGTGTCCTCCATGACTTGATCGTACAAACGAAAAAATGCGAGAACAAGAGGCACCCAGGGGCCACATCGCTCACCTGAGCAACTGGCTAGGTTAAAGCAAAAATTACTTCAGTATTGAAAAGTTTAAATACTAGTATATTATAAAAGTGGGTTGATACCACAGTGTGGCCCCAACCTACCCCGGGGAGTCCTGATTTGAACAAACTTGAATCTTCGCTACCAAAGGATGCTTCTACACAAGTTTCATCTTTCCTGTCCCAGTGGTTCTGGGGAAGAAGATTTTTAAAGATTTTTCCTAAAAATTCCTATGTTAAACTTTGGTACCCCATTGTGGCCCCACCCTACCGCCGGGGTTCATGACTTGAACAAAATTAAATCTTCCCTTTTAGAGGATGTTTCTGCATGAGTTTCATCTTTCCTGGCCCTTGAATCTTGAGAAGAAGATTTTTAATGATTTTTCCTATGTATATCTATTTTAAACTTTGATATCCCATTGTGGCCCCACCCTTCCCCCTGGGGTCATGATTTGAACAAACTTGAATTTTCATTACCAAAGCATGCTTCTACAGAAGTTTCATCTTTCCTGGCCCAGTGAATCTTGAGAAGATTTTTAAAGATTTTCCTATGTATTCCTATGTTAAAATTTGATACCCCACTGTGGCCCCACCCCAAATTTGAATCTACACTACCTGAGGATAATTCCACTTGAGTTTCATCTTTCCTGGCCCATTGGTTCTTGAGAAGAAGATATTTTAAAGATGCCATTAATTTTTCACTAATTCATAATTATCTCCCCTTGGAAAAAGGCGTGGCCCTTCATTTGAACAAACTTGAATCCCCTTCACCAAGGATACGTTGTGGCAAGTTTGGTTGGAATTGGCCCAGTAGTTCTTGAGAAGAAGATGAAAATGTGAAAAGTTAACGACTACAATGACGACGACAACAACAACGACAGACAACGGACAGATTTTGATCAGAAAAGTTCACTTGAGCCTTCGGCTCAGGTGAGCTAACAATTCAATGTGAATATATACAATGACCCCACAATTTTTTATGGAAGCATCAGACAAAATATGACTTAATATTAGAAATGCAATTGCTGACAAGTTCATTGTATCGACCATAAGAAACGACTATAGAATTTGCAAAAAGTTGAATTTAAACGACCTTTGTTTCATCAACTTCACTGACAATTTCTTAAATTGCATCGATTTTGAAATTGTTCCTACGTTGAAAATGGTCTTGCGTATGACTCAACAGGAAGAGGTAAATTCCACATTCAGATGTTAATACTAGCAGTATATTGCTGCATAATTATATAAGTTTATTGTTAGGTTACTATCAAAATGTCAGACTGTCTATTACCTCTACTTCAAGGGGGTATATCGAATAATTAACGCAGAGAAAATTTATATCTAACTATTGAATTAAAGGCCACAACAAGGTGCTTCCATTTTTAGGCAAGAATATTAATTTTGCATATGATTTGGTTTCTTTATAAAGTTAAAAAGCAAAAACATTTACAGAACATCGACCATTACTTCCAAAATACTAGAATACAATTTTGTTACTCTATAACATTTGATTTCCTCTTAAAAGCACCAGGTTTCTTGTGAAAGAATTTCAGAAAGAAAAATTGGTCATAACATAGTATTAAGTCTGAGAAAGAAGGCAATGTGACAGTAATCATATCTATAATATGGCAATTTTTAATTTCTTTTTAAAAAATCGCAGGCATAAAAGATCATATATTTATCACACACTACTAGTAATTGACACCTTGAATTAGAAGATTCAGATCTGTCTTCTTTATTGTTGTCATCAAAAGTCTCATCTTCATCGTCATTGTTCTCGTTTTTCTGTTCATCTTCACTAGAGTCTTGTGGTGTGCTTGTAAATTCGTCGTCAGAATACGAATCCTCCCTTCTAAAAAAAATTTATGTTTAAAAGAAAAAATTATAATAAAATGATCGATATAAATAAAATAATTCAGAGCATATCGTAAAAATCTGCTTACCTTGTCGAGGGCGTACCTTCCTCTGATACATTGAGTTTCCCATCATTGTGACCAATGAAGGCCATCTCTAATTGTATGTTACAAGAAGGAAGATTTTCAGTTGAAGTATTTTGGCGCTCTACAGTCTGTCATGGAGTTTTAATAAAATCAATAGCTATCATTTTATCTTCGTTTTGGCATGGTTTTTGAATGACTTAAACGACCGGGGTCAACTTAACACTTTATTGAAACAGTTATCTTTAAAACACTACTAAGTAACAAAGTATTGTGTATGATACCCATTGGGAAAAAAAAACCTTTAGATATGACATTGTTTATTTTTGGTATGCAATAAAATTCCACATTTTGTATACAGTAATTAAGGGGGATGTCAGGGCACACATAACATAAGTACACTATAATTTGATCAAATTTCAAATCATTAATATAAAGATACAATAAATATACATAACTGAATGCATGTTTTGTGTGCATAATTCATAGTTTTGCGGTAAAATGCTTTTGATATGCTCTCTAGAACTTTGCGACTACACAATTTCACAGAGCCATAAAAATCCACAAACATATGCGAAGTGTGCATTAATGTTCTCACTACAACCGTTTGTTGAGAAAATGTCTAAATTTTGCACTGTTCAACGGTAAATTCGAGTTCAAAACAAGGCACTTTTGTCTTCAAAATGACACATTTCCTAACAGTCGTCCGCGTGGGGCAGTGGTTAGAGCGTATATTTTTGAGTCGCGGAGTAAGGAGTCAATCCTTATGTCGCGGGTTCGAATCCCACTGTGGGACGTGGAGACAACGCACTTTGAAAAAAAAATTCAAAGTGCGTTAAATTTGGGTACAAATCAACGCACTTTGCAAAAATAAAATTCCTTTTCAAAGTGCGTTAATATCGACCATATTAACGCACTTTGAAAAATGTGTATGGATTGGTCAATATTCTTGCAAATCTTAGGTATGATGAATAATTGAACCTGTTTGATATCTATTCAGTGATGAGGTCACTTTAGGATGTGGAAGTGAGCGATTTTGATTTTTCCATACTTTGAAAAATCGATGTTTTACTGTATTTAATTTTCCCAGTTTGCATGCATTTATATGTAAACTGAAATTTATTGAAAGTTTTCAACGTCATACCAATTATGCAAATACATAGAATTAAGTGTGGCATAGGCATCGGTACTAGAAGGGGAAGGTACACAATTGTTTTGCAAATGTTTTACACAAAAGATATATAGACATTGAAAATTGGGGCTTACATTGTACTTTGAGGAAGAGGGGTGTCCACTTTCAATTTGCTACCGACGGCTATATACAATGTATAAGAAAAAAAGAGTTGGGCTGAGAGACCTTCTACTCGTCTTCTCCTTCTTCCATAATACAAATTAATTCTCTCAATTACTAAAATCAAAGTCTAAAGTTTTTTGTTTCATACATTTTTTTTCAAAGTGCGTTAAATGTCCCCAACATAATCAATGTTTATGTACACTCTTAACGCACTTTGAAAAATTTTTCAAAGTGCGTTGAGTGTGTCCTAAATTTAACGCACTTTTGAAAAATGTTTTTCAAAGTGCGTTGATTTTGTCCCAATTTTAACGCACTTTGCGTTTTTTTTCAAATTGCGTAATTTTTTCAAAGTGCGTTGCCACACCGGTCCTTCGGATGAGACAGTATAAACCGAGGTCTCGTGTCGCAGTAGGGGCTGGCAAAAAAAAAAGATTCCTCCCTGGCCCTGAGTGCCGAATATAGGACACAATTTTGCAGCTCTCCAACGGCAAGTGGTGGTGTCTCCATATGAGTGAAAAATTCTCGAGAGGGACGTTAAACAATATACAATCAATCAATCATTTCCAAACATACCCTCAAACCCTTATTTTAAACTACATTTAACAATAAACTGTAGTTTACTCTAGTATCAAGTTTTTTTTATTTTGCGAATCTAGTTAATTTTACTATGAATTTCAAATTATTAGATTGCATTTTCTTCAAGTTCCACGCATTTGTTTTTCTTATCAAAAGACAATATTACTTGTGTATCAAAAGTATTATCTCAAGGAAAAGGAGCACACGGCGGGAGTGACCGAACAGTTGGGGATACTCACTCCTCCATGGCACTTGATCCCACCTCTGATGTTTTGGAGGTACGTGTTTGCTCTGCTCCTACTTCGTATTGTTTTAAAGACTTTTGATCTTAAATACTGTACGTTATATCCATATGTTTCCTTTACACCATCGATGACTGATTAAAAGATAATATTAGGGCCATAAATATGTATTTAAAACCTACAGCAAATGCGTTGTAAATTGGGCCTAAAGTATTTTATATCGTTCCTGTGATCTGTGTAAAAGTTTCCATACCTAAAAGAATGTATGTAAATTACACTGTGTTCACACCCATTCCATGTCCTTATAATACTAGTATCTCTATAGGGCTTATGAAATCTACAGTAAACTCCATATAAGGATATATTACTACACAAGTAACGGAAGTCACTCGCGTTTATAATTAAGGTTTGTTCTCTAAATGTCGAGTTGAACTGAAGGATGAAAGCAAGTGTTTTCTTCTTCTCTTAAACCAATATGAGCTGCAACTTTGGTGTCAAAATTTTCTGTCGCAAAACTGCCATTAACTTTTTCAAGGACAGAGAAAAAAAAAATTGCCTTTCTAAATAATACTAGTTTAATATTTTTTAATATTTGATTGTAAAGGGGCCTTTCTTTTGAAACAACTTTATTTTAGTCTAATTGATCACAAAGGTTGAATTTAATCATAAATTTATCATAATAGTTAATTTTAATAGCAAATCAAAAATTCTCAAAAATGCAGCTAATATTTGCTTTAAGTTTTTGAATAAATTCTGCTTCACACGAACACAAAAAGGTCCGCTAATAACAGTGCAAAAAAAGTATTCATAAGAATTCCGACAGAATTGGAAGTCTTGATCTCCAAAAAATTTAAAATTACATAGATCCTGTTAAGCAAAGCCTCTAGCATCTTTAAATATCAACTTCAGAATATTTGTGTGACCAATGACAAGGTAAGTTAATATTAAGCTCGTTTCTTGTCCTTCATTGCAACATTTCAATCTATATCTATGGCACGCCAAATTCACAAAAATGAGCTAAACCTAGTTTCACAATTGATAAACTAGGTTTATCGACTGTAAACTATAGTTTACAAGCCGTATACTATAGTTTACGATTTGTTAAGTATAGTTTTCATCTGTAAAACTATATTTAACGGTTGTTAACTATAGTTTACGAATGCTAATCTAAGTTTATCTGTCTGTAATAAAGCGTTAACAATAGATTTTGTTGATAAACATAGATTCACGTTTGTAAACTATAGTTTACAATTGTAAATTATAGTTAAGAGTTATTAATCATAGTTTCACAAATTGTGAAACTATATTTATCAGATCGTTAACTATAGTTAACGGTTTGTAAACTATATATGGTTTACAAATCATGAAACTGTATTTATCAGATAATCTATGTTTTGCAATCGCAAATGATTGTTTTCGGTGTTAAGTATAGTTTACGGTTGTGAAACATAGATTATCGCGTTAACTATGGTTTACAGATGTGAAATATAGATTAACGTTGTTAACTATAGTTTACGGTTTGTAAACTATAGTTTACAACCGATAAACCTAGTTTATCGATTGTGAAACTATGATTATCTCATTTTTGTGAATTTGGCATGCCATATATATCGACGACGTTTTATCAATCAACTAAAAGGTACTTTCTTTCATATGTCAACTTAATATCCCAGTGATTTCGAAACAATAGATATCAAAGAGACTGCCACATCTTTTTGGTATTCTGAGAATTTCAATTTCTCAAACGCTCTTCGGATCTTTTTTTATTTCATAGAATTGACTTGCGTCATTTCTTGAATATGACGTTGCGCAATACATTCTCTTCCGAATAATTTTCGGAAAAGAAAAAAAATATGTTCGGGCAAGACCCTTTTTAGGAATTAGAAAATTTTCAACTGAATGGCATTGCAGGGTAATTGGGCCAGTTAACTGCATGAATAAAATATAAAAAGGTATTTTTATTGTACACTGTAAATGATAAACATAACGAATAGTGACGAATTTCATAAGTACAGTAGACAATTTAACGAGTCGTAAATGGATGAAGAAACACCAAAGGTGGGATCAGTAGCATAGGAGGAGTAAGCATCCACAGTTGACCGCTTACGCCCTCTGTGAACGCTATGAAATATCGTCTTCCAAGACAACCAAGATTAACAGTTATAATTTCTTATATATCAAGCATCAAATTAAATTGTCATATTCCAGATGTAGATCTGGGTGACATAAATTCCAAGTCTGTTTGGCCCCTGCTGAGTGCTAAGGCCGGATTTCTTTCCAGAGAATATGGCTTCATTCCCACCAACAGGCATGGATCAAACTCTTGTCGGTGGATCTTTTTCTTGGGGCCACTGTCCAGACTGAAATCCAATACAGTGTATGGAGAAATGCCAACTCGAGAGTCCTTTATTATTGCAAATTTTAAGCAATTCTGTTTTGCTTTATCAGAAAACACAATGAAGCAGTTCTGAACTTTCTGCGTATGTGATTTTCTGCGAATGGAATTCCCAGACATGTGCACCGGAATTCTTTGGAAGTTTTTAAGGAAAATATCTTCTGACTTTCCTATCAAAAATATAGACTGGTAGTGTTCTTGAACTTTTTGCAGATTTTCTATCAATACACAATCAATATAAACCATTGCCTTGTGAGGTTTGACAATTCGTACATGAATTACAAGATTACACAAGAAAGCATCTGAATACGCAAGCTTTGCCTCTTCTTAGTTAAAATCCCCTGATTTTCTCAAACCAATGGATATACTGTAGTGAATGAAAAAATAGATACATGTAATCATAAAAGTTAAGTAACAGTAATTTAAATAATAAAATGCTTTCTTTGCTTGTTAATTCGGGAATTAATGTTGCAGTTATTGCAGAAAAATACAAAACCCGTGCAATTGCTGCGACGTTAATTCCCGTACTAAAAAAAAAGAAAACATTTTATTGTTAAATAAACAATATTCATACAAGACTTTTTTAGAATGTTGCAAAGAAATATGTGATTAGATATCCCAAGTGTAAGAAAAATTGAAAGGCATGTACATGTATCCTGAATAAATTTGTGATAAATTAAATCTGTATCAAAAATCATTCACAATAAAATAAATGTTTTTCAAATGAATGTATCGTTGTATGTAAAACTGATGGAAAAGCCAATTGTTCATGAAAACTACACACGTGGCTTGTTCAGTATTGTTTATGCACTGATTAATGGCTATGGTCTTCATAAGAAATAAAGGAAAAACATTCAGTGGGTGTAAATATATTATATAAAGAGAAAACTTCTATTTTTTTAATGGTCTTTTGAGAGGAACGCTGACTTTTACTGTTGACGGCCTACTTTTACACTAGGACAATGTATGGAAGCTCTTTTACGATAATTTATAAATATTTAGCTTAAATTTATCCCATGTGATTTCACTTCTCAATCCAAAGACCAACATAAAATGAGACAAGTATAGCTGTAAATGAACAC